CTCGGCCCCGCCCCTCTCGCGCAGATTCCTTCGGTGGCGCTCGGCCCCGCCCCTCTGGCGCAGACGCCTTCGGTGGCGCTCGGCCCCGCCCCTCTGGCGCAGACGCCTTCAGTGGCGCCCAACATACGCGGAGCGAAGCTGACGGTCCCCTTCAGGCCTCCCGTCCGGCTCCCGCCGGCTCCCCGTGCCCTCTCCAGTCCCTCCGGGCTCAGCGAGCACACACTTCTGTCTCGGGAGCTCGCCGGCCCTCCCCGCATGTCCACACGGTTCCCTCCCTCGCTGGAGTCAGTCCCCGCTCACGCGTCCCCCCCTCAAAAGGGCGTTTCCAAAACGCGACTCAACGCCCCCTCACGCCCACCGCCACAGGTTTCCCGACACCGCCTACGTGCAGGTTGCACTGGCCCCTCCCCAGCCCCCAGGACAGCGCCGGACACACCGAGGCTCCCGAGCTGTCAGGAGGATGGAATCGTCCATAAAACCTCGCACGGGAGGCCGCCGTGGCTCCTGAGTCCCTGACACCACTTCCTACGCTGACAGCTCCTTGACAAACCTCAGCTCACATTTTTGACTTTCCCCCCCGCCCAATTCACCACCGACAAAGTTAAAACCTCCTCTTTCCTCCCCGAGCTCGCGAAAACGTGTGTTCTAAGGCACCTCAACGTCCCCGGCGCGATTTTCCACAGGCCCCCCGTTCCCGCCCGCCCCCGCGGAAACGAACACCTCCCCGCGCTCCCGGCTCGCTCCCTCCCCTCGGCGAGCCGCCGAGCCCAGGCCGCCCCACCACCTCGGCGCTTCTCCCGGGCCCCGCCGCCGGCCCCGCACCCGGGCCACACCGCCACAACGAGTTGCGTCCGCCGCCTTCTCAAGTCGTCCCCGCGCGGTCCTCCGTCAGGAAGGCGCCTTCTGCGGCTTCTCACCTCTCACTCCGTCCTCGGGGACCGCCCCCGATCCGCTCCCCACGGCGACCGACAGACTTCACGCCGTCGTCAGCTTCTTTCTGGTCTCTACCTTTCCCGGGCGTTACTTCAAGGCTGAGGCTGACTCCGAGTCTGACTGGAACGGAACGAAAGCCGCACGCGCGGGTTAGCGCACCGGGGAGAGCTGACTAAGGGGAACCGCGACGAGCCTGCCGTGGCCTCTGGGAAATGTAGTTTCAGCACGCAAAGCACCCAGGAGTCGTGTTGAAGGGCGAGGCCCTGTCCGCGCAGGCGCACGGTATCACCTTCTCGGCCCTGCGCAGGGGTGGCGCTCGCCGCCGCTTCGCCCGCTGGGAAGTGGAGTCTTGGGAAGCCGAAGGGTTGCAGCCCTCGCACTCGCGGGTATTCGGCTCCGCGGCTCCCCCGGCAACGCGCAAGCGCAGTTCCGACCCGGGCTGCCGACTCCCGCTCATTGTGTTCCGCCTGCGATGTGGCGGTTGCGGTTCCTCGCCGCGGGCAGAGGCTCCTTGAAGGGCAATCCGGTGGTGACCAGGCACGGTGGCCAGAGCCGCGTCGGGAGAGCGGGAGCGGCCGTGGGGTGGTCGGGCCGGCGGGCAAGGGCGGGGGGAAAGAAGGCCGAGGAGGTACGGGTCGTAGTCCGTTCTGGAGGACGCTGATCGGATGCCCCAAACTTCCCGGGACGTATGGCTGAGGTTTGATTGAAGAGGAAAGGGGAGGACGGCCAGGTGCGGGCTGTTGGTTTTAGGGTCGGAATGTGCGAGAGCATGTGCAGGAGGATGCGGTCCGGGCCTCTGCGTGTGTCTCGGAGGAGCCGACTCCGGGAAGCCGGTGGACGCTCCGGGGGTGATGCTCCGGGCGTGATGCTCCGGGCTGTGTCGGAGCCCCGTCTGCGGACCTCGCCGAGGCCGGGGCAGCCGCAGCCGCAGCCGCAGCCGCAGCTCCCGCGGGGACCGGGCAGGGGGCCGGAGGGTGGCTTCTAGGAATGAGACTCCCAGCCCCCTCCCCGCCACCCAGCCACACAAATGCACTGCCTCTCGCCCTCCTCTGGCTCTTTGTCACCCACACCGGGCCGCTGAGGGGGGAAGGCCTGAGGTCGGAGGAGGGCTTGGCCTGAGAGGCCTTGACAGTGAGTATCCAGCCCTCTTAGCTTGCCTTTGGAGGAGAAGGAAGACCATCCTTCCCCACTTCTTCCACTCCCCTCCCAGGCAGGGGGGAAAGTTCTGTTGAGACCTGTCAGGGTAACTTAAGGGCAAAGGCCAGAGGGTGGGCAGAAAGCCTGAGATCTGGGACTGAAGGGTGCTTTCTGCAAGGAGAAGCCAACGTATTTAAGATACAGAAGGGAAGATGTGGCGGATTTGATCCAGATGCTGGGGGAAAGTGTGGGGCTGGGAATGGCTGCATGCCGAGGGATTCCCTTTACAGTGGAGGCCAGCAGAACTATCCTCAGAGAGGAGAGAGAATTGGGAGCAAATAGGGACTAAGAATCTACTGCTTCGGGGTATTGGAGGACTCCCAGGACGTGAATGCTCCCAGCCTCAGTCTGGACTGTCCTGTGATCTCTTTTAACCCAGTTCTCCTCATAACAGGTGTGTAGAAGTTTCTAGCCTAAGTCCTGCTCTGCCAGTCCCTGAAAGGGCTTATCAAAGAAGGAATGGCCGTCAGGCACCTGCCAACCATGGTCCAGGTGAGTGGGGAGTTGCTGCAGGGTTCCCCGCCCCCAATTTGCCTTATAAAAGTTTTGAATGTAGAGGTTTGAAAAGGGTGTGCTTGTTTTTTCACCCTGACCAAGAGCTTGTCTCTTAATCCAGTCTCAGTTGGAGGCCTGACCCCGTTGCTCCTATATGTACATGTATAAATAGAGAGATATATATGTGTATATATTTATATATGTATATGTATATTGGCTTTCTTCTCTGGGCTTCTCCTTAACTCTTCTCAGGGCACACCAGCTTCTTGGCTTCTCAGCCAAGAGGTTCCGGGGAAGGCACTAGTTGTGATCAGAGGGGACAAGGTCATATTGTTCAGAATGACTATTCCTGTGCGAACCATGTATGTGTGTTGGGGGTGAGCAGGTGAGCAGCTGAAGACAAGCAGGAGTTGCTAAGCAACAAGTAATAGGTGCTGGGCCATGTTCTCCAAGACGTGCCAGGAAGACAAGAGAGATGTGGAAACAGTCCCTAGCTTCTTGGAGTTAACAGTCCAGTGGGGGGAATCCGAAAGCAAATGAGAACTCACAATAAAGTGGGACGGTGCTTTGCTGGGCCTGCACAGGAGTTGAGGAAGGCTCTGCCCAGAAGGAAATGTGGAGGCTGAGGCCTAGGTAGGACTTGGTCATGGGGTGGAGTGGAGGCAGGGCTGGGCAGATTGAGGGAGATAGGAGAAAATGTCCAGGGCAAAATGAACAGCAAGTATGAAGTCTCAGTGCTGAGGAAGCATATCTTCTCCACAATACGTGTTTCTTCAAGACAGGAAGTAAGGTCTGATAAAAATTTGGCCCCTAGGAGACCCTGAGGAAATGCTTACGTTGTCACAGAATACCGTCGGGCTCTATGCTAACAGTCCCGCACCTCTCAGCCGGCTTCTGGGGACTGCCAGGCTCAGCACTTCCCAGAGAGCCATGGGAGGGGGTCGCCGCAGGTCACCAGCGATGGGATTTGCTGTTACAGGAATCAGTGACCTTCAAGGACGTGGTCGTGCTCTTCACCCGGGACGAGTGGGCACAGCTAAGCCCTACTCAGAGGGCCCTTTACAGGGATGTGATGCTGGAGAACTACAGCAACCTGGTTTCACTGGGTAAGCGGGGGGCCTCCGAAGGCTGATCTTCACATCTGGGGATCCCTTTGGGACCCTTATAAACTCTTAAACTGGTTCCACACAGAAGACTGGGCTGGGAGTGGGCTGATGGAGGATGTTCTCTTCAGGGCTGCTGCATGCCTACCCCTGGTGTCCTGGGGACGTGACCCCTTTGGAGTCTAAGTGCAGATGCTTCGAAGGCGATGAGGTTGAATCCTCTCTCCGTTTCAGCCCTTCAGGGAGAAGGACATGGGAACAGATGGTTGGCGTCAGGCCCCAACCGTCTGTTCTTCCTTCTGGGGACTCGCCTGTCCCCTGGCCTTCCTATCGGGTCACCTTTCCCAGGAAGTCCCGAGGACCAGGTCTCCTCCTTACAATGATTTTATCACTGGTATGAACAGATGTGGTCCATTTCCCCCTCAAAAACAGGACTCTTAGGACCTCAACCAGAGCTGTTTTCCCAGCTGGGAAAAGGAGAAGAATGGATGCTGGAGGATGCATCGGGAAGCTTCTGTCTTGGTAAGAGCCCTGCGTGTGGGAGGCACCTGGAGGGACCCCACAAACACTCCAGGCCCATGGACTGCGAAACGTCATCTTTTCCCTTCTCATTCACCACAATATCTGGTTGCCACACTGGTCCCCCTGTGCATGTGGGCTCTCCTCTCCATGAATTTTCTTCTCCCTTCTTTGGCGTAGATTAATAGTCTCCAGTTGGGAAAAGGCCTCCGGTGTAATTCGGGCCTCTCCCACCAGCCCATGTCTCTTTTAGCATCTGACAGTGCAGTCTCTGCTCACGGTTCTCGGTGGTGAGGAACCGTGCCAGCTTACACACAGCAGGGTGTGATGGGCCGGCTAACCATCTGCCTTCTGAGGCAGACCTTCTGGCTAAACATTGCACACTTCTTCAACCGCCTTCGTATTTGTTCATCTGTATGTACATATATTCGGCCAGCATTTAATTATTCTCTGCCTGTTGTCAGCACCACACTCGGCTGGAAGCACCATGAGAATGTGGCCAGGTTTATACTTTGCCAGGTTGCTCACTTGGCACCTGCTGGGTGGCAGAGACTTGTAGCCTGAGGATACAGAGAACATGACAGTTTGGTGGTGGTTACTTGTCTCAAGGGGCCCTGTGGGTCCGGTAGCTTAAGAGCAGGAGTAGGGGTGCCCCTCCCCTTGCTCCTGAATATTGTAGGGAGCATATTGCCTTATCCAAGACGTGACGACATTTCCCTTTGGGCTGGCATTTTGTAGGCTGGAAAGTATTTTTTTAAAACCTTTTGGTACTGATTTTTCACCCAGCAAAACAGGCAGGGATTTATGGACCCAATCTGTTATGGAATTTAAATGTCTTAACTCTAAAACTCAGTTATCCAAAAAAATATCTTCTAACTTACTGCAGTAGCATTCTGAATTTGTATGTTCTATTATACCCAAGCTAAGGCATTTTTAGTATTTCATTCTGTATTATGCAAGCAGTGTTCTAACAAAAGAAGGGGGGGGCAATTAAGCAAGAGAAATTCATCCACTGTCCTGCCACTCTAGCATAACATCATCCGTTCTTCCATTACCCATCATTACCACTAGTTCTTTCTTGCACTTGGGTGGGGGGAGTATGAAGATAGAGGAGTTTTATGTCTAGAAGCAGTTTGATAGTCAGGTGTAGGTAATGATGTGAAAAACCAGGTGGTCAGGGTTCAGGCCCTCCCAGGTGCCTTTCCCGACCCTCAGGGTCCAGCACCTCGTATTCCCGAGTTGCCTGGACACCCCAAACCTTGAGCCGATTCTTGAGGGATGATAAGTGGTCAGCACTGATCAGGCAGGGGAAGAAGTCTTATTTTACACTTCCCAGTGAAGTTTTATAGCTGTTCTTCTCATTATCTATGGAAGATATATTTTTACTTTTGAATAGAACCATCTTCTCTTTTGTTTTTTTTTAGCCAGAATTGCTGCTATGGAGAAATGGTAGTCATTTCCAAATGCTTATCACCCTCTTGTCACTCTCTCATTATTACTATTCTTAAAGCACTCATTAGATCATTTTTAGTTTTGGTTTTTTTCTTATTTCTGTTTCACTTCATAATGACTGACTGGGACTTCAAAAACCCATCTAGAACTTCTCCATTGTTGCACCAGCTACCCTTGGTTTAGAACAGACACTTACTTTCAGTGGTAGGAAGAAAAAGTCCTTCTGATAGGTTTCTCTTCTCTGGGCCCTGTGCTAGCGGAGGGAGAAAAGAGTTGGCATTTGAGCCCCTGGGGACCATCACCGTGCTGGGTGTTTTCCCAGGGAATTTAGGCGAATTGCCCCATTCAGTCCTTACAACCTGTGAGGCAAGTCACATCAACCCCACTTACAGAAAACCAGGCCTCAGCATGGTTAACACATTTGGAAAGATTTAATGTTGCTATTTCCTGGCAAGTCAGGATTGGGGTGAAGCCAGTATTGAAACCCATCTGACCCTCAAACTCATTTTCTCCCCTCCTGCAAAATAGCTTCAGTCACCTAGAAATTGTTTACTCAGTGAACCTACAGATAACCACCTGGTCCCTTAATTTAGGTTGTGTGCTAATGACTTTTTATAGTTCTTCCATATTTATTAATCTGTTGAGGTTTCTTTCTGTTACATTGGTTGTGCATTTTACCAATTAGCTTTAAACTGTTGGTGGTTTTATTTTATTGTTTTTTTGTTTTGGGGGGTTTTGTTTGTTTGTTTGAGCCTTGAAGTATATTCGTTTACAACTGGGCATAGCATTCATCTAAAAATTTAACACTTTATAGTGTGTCTTCTTCCTCATTTCCAGCCTTATCTGCTGTTTCCCACCCCCCCTCTTAAATTTGTTGGGAATTTTTTTCAGAGATCCAGCTCTTAGTTACATCTCTTACAGGTTGTAATTTTATTTCTACGCTTGTGGTCATTTCCTTGTTTTACTTTAAAATAAATGTGTTTTGGGGCGCCTGGGTGGCTCAGTTGGTTAAGCGACTGCCTCCGGCTCAGGTCATGATCCTGGAGTCCCGGGATCGAGTCCCGCTTCGGGCTCCCTGCTCGGCGGGGAGTCTGCTTCTCCCTCTGGCCCTCCCCCCTCTCATGCTCTCTCTGTCTCATTCTCTCTCGCAAATAAATAAATAAAAATTAAAAAAAATAAAAAATAAAAATAAATAAATAAAATAAATGTGTTTTGATGGCTGTACATTCTGTATACGAAAGAGGATCCGTGGTATCTTGTGACAGTTACGAAGCGTAGGGCGCAGCACCCGTGCCCCACTGTCCGGCGGAAGAAACAAAACTTGGGGCACGCGTGGAGCCGTGTGCGGGCGCGTCACTGCCCCCCGCCCAACCCGGCCACTGGCTTGAGTAGTACCCGCAGCCCCATGCTGCTCGTCGTGGTCTTTCCGCGTTTCTCTGTAGCTCGGAGCAGTCCTGCTCGGCTCTGCACGCTTTCACGTCTGACCCACGTCGTGTAGAGCAGACCCCGCCCACGGGTTGCACTTCTCAAGCCCTTGCAGAGGTGCATGGCCCTGCACTTCGATAGCCCCAACGGCGATAGCGCAGGTTTTCCGTTCTGTTGCTGGTGGGCCTGTAGGTTGTTTGCACACTTTGCTGACCGCATATTCTTATGCACGTTTCCTCGGACACATGGGCCTCCTGCAGGAGTCTTTTTTAGGCGTCTTCATAGGCGTAGAAACACTGGCTTTAAGGGTAGATGCTTCTTCAGCTCTGCTAGGTTTTCCCAGATTACTGATAGTTGATGCAAGTTCTTGTTACTTCACGTTCTTGCCAAAATTGGGAACTGTTAGACTTTTTCCCAGTCCCATTCCTGCGAGACGGTATCTCCCTGTGCTTTTAAATTACATTTCCTTGTTTCCTGGTAAAATTGAATATCTTTTTGTGTGTTGCTAATTTGTGTTCTGTGACTTACATGTTCATATTCTTTGCCCGTTTTTCTATTATAGTTTATGTTTGTCTTACTCATTTGTAAAAAGTCCTATGTATTCAGGAATCCAGTATTTTAGCGGTTAATATGTGTGTCACCCTATAGCTTCTCTTTTCTCTTTACTAACAGAAATTCTTAATGAAGTAAAATGTATCAGTCTTTTGCCTTAATGGTCTTTATCTTCATGCTGTTTGTGTCGTGTTGAAATGGTCCTTTGTACCCTTAGATCCATGAGGGAAGGACTTGGTCTTGCTTGTTCTTCTTTCCTCAGCGCACCAGGTCCCAGTGTGTATTTGTTGAATGGAAGCATGAATTTCTAATAGTACTTAACTTTTGTCTTTTTTTTTCTATAAAATCTTGTCAGAGGTTTGCTTTTTAATAGACTTTTTTTTTTTTTGAGTAGCCTAATATGGGGCTTGAACCTGCAACCCTGATATTAAGACCCAAGCTGAGATCAAGAGTCGACGCTTAACTGACTGACCCACCCAGGTGCCCCTTTAATAGACTTTTTAATGAAAATTTGACTCTGCTGATCCTTTCTATTTTACCTTGATCTAGGTCATTGATTTTTTTTTGCCCTTTATTTCTTACCTCTGACTTTCTTAGAGTTTATTCTGTTCTTCTTATATTTGGTATTAAGTTTTATCACACTAATACATGCCTTTCATGAAACTATAGTGTTTAATACAAAAAAACGAGTGGCCCCTTTGTCCCCCCTTTTCCCCATTCTTCCCTCTGGAGAGATAGCCACTTTTCTTTTAGCTGATTATTTGATGTGTTTGCTTCCAAATAATGACGTTTTTGCTATCCCTAACCTAAGAGGTCCCTCTGATCTCTTTGCAGTTAATCCCCTTCCCCATCCCTAGCCCAGGCAACCCTGATCTGCCAGGATTTCATAGGATTGGACACGTAGCCTTCTGTGTCTGACTTCTGTCACTTAGCGCAGTATCTCTGAGACTCTTCCTTGCCGTTTCACGTGTCAGAAACTCTGCTGTTGCTGAGTTAGCGCCCTGTCATATGGCAATAGCTCTGTTCAGTCGTCGTTAATGAGCATTTGGGCTATCTTCAGGTTTTGGCTAAAGCTGCTATGAACATTCCAGTACAAGGCTTCTTCGTGTGGATGTATTTTAGTTCATATGCTCTTTGCAGACATACGGTTTCAGTAAGGTATGTGCCTAGAAGCAGGAATCCCGTGTTGTGTACTAGTTGTGTGTTTAAACTGGGAAACTGTTTTCAGTGGACATGAGATCCAGGTGCTCCTTACTGTACTGGGTAGGACTCCAGCACCACGCTGAGCAGCAGCTGTGTGAGGGGCCATCCCTCCTTGTCCCCTGTCTTAGGGGGAAAGCACTTGATCTTTCACAATTCAGTATGTCAGGTGTAGATTATTTTGTAGATGCCCTTCTGACGTCAGGTTGAAGAAGCTGACACATCTGATGAGAGTTTTATCATGACTGGATATTGCATTTTTCTCAAATGCTTTTCTGAATCATTATGATGCTGCTATGGTTGATCAATTACATTTATTAGTTTTAAAATATCAAACCAGATTTGCATTCCCGGAAGACCCCAACTTAGTTTTG